ATCAGGGTACCCAAGTACTTAAACCTCAAGTTATTCAATTTACCTTTATAATTTAACCTCACCTCTCGTCATAAATTCTTTAAAGCATACAAAAGTAATATATAATAAGGGGACCTGGAATTTAGGGGCTCAGGCCACTTGAACCATCCCCCACCCCACCCCCCCCCTTTCCCACCACCACAACCAACATCACCACCACCAGCACGCGCCTGCCCCGTCCAACATTTTGTAAAGGGATGGGGGAGGATGACGCTGAGCAGTTACTTTATAAAGAAGGTTAGCACGTCTCTAGCAATGTATGGAGATTCTCTTTACAATTATTTCTATTCATATTTCATATAACATCAAATGTGTTATTGTATGTATTTACTATTCAACAAATAATTATTATTATGCTCTTAATCTAGGATCCGGCCCCCGGGAGAGCGCCTCCTTTCCCTCCCCTTTCCTTTTTTTTTTTCGCCTAGACAATCTGTATGGCAAATGGATGCTGTTTTCTGTGTGTTGGTGTGTCTGCTATGTTGGATAATAACAAGCATGCATAAAAATTATTGTTTTAAAATGCAAAACGTGAAGAAACTATCAAAAGACACGAGATTCCCCAGCTTTGGAACAAGAAGGTTTAGGGTTTTAGATTCAACTGGAGTTTTAAAATTGTTTTTTTCTTTTTTTTTTTTTTTTTCCTTTCTAAACACAATTTTTGAACTAAGATGAGTTTTTCAGCAACATAAATATTCTGTAAGAAAGTGTTGCCTTTTTATTTTTTACTGTAAATAGATGTATTATATTTTTTCGTTATTCTTGGGTTAGTGTTTGTATAGTATGGCGTTTAGTATCACTATTTTTCATCGTCTTTCGCCCTTCACCCCACTTTTCTTTCCCTCTATAGAAGCCTCCAGTGTGTAAATATAACTAATAATAATATTATATATATATAAATATATCAACATTTATAATGTTAATCTTTAAAGAAAAGTTAGAAAGAACCAAGTAAACAGAGAGAAAAAAAAAACTGTTAAAGTGTGAGGCATGCAAAGAATAATAAAACAAATAAATATCATGTTTATTCATGTAAAGAAAATGCTGGTTTTTAAAAAAGCAAAATAAACGATCTATATCCAAGATCTATTTTTTCCCCGTTTGGTGGCTGACTGGTGATTATCTGGCCACTGCTCCTGAGATATCCCCACTACAACGCCATCTTATTTTTTATGTTAGCAGACATTGTCCAGACATGACTATGTTTCTTATTTCGTCTTAACTGAATTCATCTTTCTTGAAACATATATGACATTTACTAAAGTGTACATATATTTGTAAGCTTTTAAAGTCGATAGTTAGGCACAAGCAAAGAACCAAAGTCAAACATTAGTGCTTTATTAATATCCTACCCTCAAATGACGTCACAGGACAGTCCAACATTTTACAGGGTGGTAAGACTGGGTTTCCCGGCTTTCTAACGCTTTTAACTACCCCAAAACATTTAGAACTGGCCCTAACCCCAACCTACCTACGTCCAATGACTACGTGCAGTCTCAGTCCAACGATTGCATGCAGCCTAGGTCCCACTGCTACATGCAGCCTATCTACCACCCCCTGAAATATTAGACCGTCCCATGACCTGGGGATTTCCCCTGTTTGGGGTAGGATATTAATAAAGCACCCAAACTTTTGAGAGCATGCATCTTCCCTGTAGCAACGTACGCATGTAAGTAGTGGACTATCTCGCAGGATTTAAAAAAGAAAATATGGGCTTTTGAGCTGAAATGTTATTGAAATATTCTCAGAATACCACGAACGAGAGGAAAAGAAAAACTGACACCCTAAAAGAGCTTAACATTAAGGCAACTTTGCTAGTAAACAGCAGCTTGTTTCTGATACTGAAATATTTCGGCCATATTAAACACCATGTCGAATTGGACAGAAAAGTAGCAGAAGGCATGGTACCAGGAAAGAAGGGCATGTGCGGACCAGCACAAAGATGGGTACTGTATATAAGTGACACCTTTGGTATTAAAGTGCATGAGGAAGGAGAACTGATGAGCAACCGGGTTTCTTTCAGACAGAGCGTGGTGGGAGCGTCGATCTGCAAAGAACCTGCTACGCGATGAGAGTAATATAAAAAAAAGTAAATAACCCTTTTCCACGCCTTTAGGCGTATAGGGCATATAGGGCTAGACCTATATTTTTATAGACCAATCGGCACAAGATGGGTGATGTGGTCAGCATCACGCCGGCCGCCTTTTACTTTCTCGGGTCTGCACCGGTACCCACTCAAGGCTGGGTCGACCTGGGAGCCAAGGTCATTATTGAAAACAGTCCGGCTCCGCCAGGGAGCGAACCCACGACATTCTGATCAGCGGCGAGCGTCTAGCCACTCGGCCACGGCGACTCCCTACGCAATGAGACATGTGTAATGGATTCTGCGGTAATGTTTTCATTGGGACTTAGAAGCCAGTATACTTTCAGCATGATCTATCAAGTGTTAATACAACTTGGGGTAAACAATTATGATATCTAGTCATACCACACATATATTAACATGCATTTGTGAGATTAATCAAGACTAATAGTAGCAATGTTGATTCTACAGTTGAATATAAAGATAGGTGCATCGTGGTTTAGGGTAAATATGATACATATGACAAGAAAGCGATATGTTATCGTGCTGTTATTTACAATGTAAGAAAATATGTTGCGTTCAAGGCAATGCTGAGATGTCAAAAAGAAATTTCAAATTAAAATGAAAAAAAATTAAAGACATCAATAAAAACATCATTGTAATATGTATATATTGTATAATGGTTACAACGCATAATGAAAAAATTGTTAAACTAGTTTGTATGTGCAATAATATGTGTGTGTGTATCAACAGTTCAAATCTACAACAATCATATTGTTAAAGATAAACGATATAATGATTTACTCAGATTATATGTTATACAAAAAGTAAATATTTTCATAGACATTCATAGACAAGAGTATATGCAAAACTAAGCTAGTTTGGACACAAATTATATAGTGAAGATATATTTTGTGCATATATTTTTTTTGACTTACCATGTCCTGAAATTATCAAACAAATCAAAATTAATTACAAAACCAAAGATGGGTAACGATATGTGTGTGCTTATTGTTATTTTGTGAGAAAAAAGGCCCTAGGGTTATTAAATAATAATTGTTGGCATCTGTCCGTCATTCCCAGACGATAGTGTCATATTGCCTAATGAAAAGAATCCAGTGATGCCACAAACGAGAGCGTACAATATGAAAGAATAAAAATCCCCCAAAGTATTTCAGGGTCCTCGCCGGTGCTACAGAGCCTGTGCACTGTACTGAGCTTCTTCGGACACAGACTTGAATTAGAAGAAGAACGGAGCACTTATAGGTTAATACCCGTGTGCCATGATGTTGATGCGTTGTTCAAAACATTCAAACCTTCAAGTAGAAGCACAAAGAGACAGGGGACGACCAAGAAGGATAAAGAATGAAGGAGTCACTGATACATCGATTCTCCACAACATCACAGTTTGCTGGGCAACCGAGCTTGTCCTAGCTCGGATAAATATCATAAGTTAACATGTGACGCTTAGAGGCACAAAGCAGAATATTGACCCCAAAGAAAAAAAAACCCAGAAAAGTGTTATTGAGTGTTAACGGGAGGCATTGCAGTTACAAATCTTGACAAAAATGATTGTGACTAACAAAATCAGCCCACGTCAAGAGAAGGCTTTCTCAGTGACTGCATTAGATTTCAGGGCCATGACATCGACGACCGGCTGACTTATCTGTCCGCCAACAGGCGACTCGGTCACCGAATGGAAGTTTGTTGCTCGAGTCATCGAATCAACACTGTATGGGCTGCAACTTTTCATGGCTGCTTGGTGGTGAGCAGTTTTAAGCTATAAATATGATGTAAGTAAACAGAGACCACAATGTAAACGATAGCTCTCCCTCCAGAACAAAACCCCTGGTCCTAATCATTTTATACTTTGGTAAGAAAAAAATTAGTCTACAATAGGATGTCAATTCAAAATGGGAAAAATTGAAAAATTTGATAGAATGAAATGGATGTGATTTTACAGAAGCATCCTTAGAATTCCTTGGACAGCTAAGAAGAGCAACCCAGATGTTCTGAAATAGTCGAAGGCTCGAGAACAACTTATCACAAACATCAGAAAGAGAGTCATCATTTTTGGTCATCTTATGGGAAGAAGGGAAAATTGAACATGTTGTGATCATTGGAGGGGTCTGTGAAAAGAGAGACATAGGAAGACAATGTGAGAAGATTCTTGACAGTCTTTTATCATGGCATGGGGGCGGGAGGAGGGTGTCAACAAACGAAATGATACACGCAGATTGTGGAGAGGCAAAGAACTTGGCGATGACAAAAAATAAATAATGATATTAAAAACAGTTTAACTACATTTTAACTGATATGTGGCATTTATATCACTAACGTTTTTTTTTCGCATTTTAAAACAAATGATTTCTAACTGATAGAACTTATTATTGACAAGAAAAAGAGGTCGATAGTTATCTGAGGGAAAAAAAAGGAACATAATTTTTTTTTTTGACAACGTGGAAGACAAGTTTAGAATTCTTCTTCTTCAGCATTACGAGCCCTTGGCGTTTACTGCTGCAGACACCACCTGTCTCTATTCATCTCCGTAATTAGCCTTCTCTTTCCAGTTGGTGACACCAAGTGTTTGCAGGTCTGTCTGTAAATGATCTCTCCGCAGTTGTCTTTGTCTGCCTCGCTGTCTGCTAACATTCAACACTCGTGTACGCAGTTTTTGTCTCCGTCATCTGACATTGTCTCTGTATGTTCTCCAAATTATTCCTCATGTAAAATTGACAGTGCATGTCAGAGCATCGACATTTGTTTTGCCTTTTACACGCCACACAGGGTTGTCAACCCATTTCTTCACCTTGCTCTGTCCTAGCAATCTTTTTCATATCATAAATGGAATCTTGTCCTGCAACTCTGGCTCCTCTTATCAATGCTAGTCTTACAGTTTCTCTGGGACGTTCTAGAGTCATCGGTTTATTTGTTCGCACAAATAGAAATAAAGAGAGAGAGAGAGAGAGAGAGAGAGAGAGAGAGAGAGAGAGAGAGACAGAGAGAGAGAGAGAGAGACAGAGCAAGAGAATGAGAAAAGATTCATGACGACCTTGTGTCATGATACGTAATGGTGCATTTTAATATCGCAAAAAAGGTAAAAACATAATCGCCCACGCTAGTTGGCGTGACTTGATGATGACGATAATGATGATGATCTAGCAGAAACAATACTTACAGTGTTTGCCATTGTAACAAGCTCTGGTCGGTACTTTAGGAACAATTTGACAACATCCGAATGATTGTTCTCGGCAGCTAGGTGAAGCGGTGTCTGCCCATGCTGGAAATATGTTTGTTTCAACAAAAATACGTATCAAACATTACATTTAACTATTAGTTTATAGTCATAAAAACGTTACAACGGGTATAGAGCGAGCGGAAGACCTCAGAAAATATGGAGTGATGGCATTAAGAACAGCCTTACAGAAATGAACATCAGTCTTAATAGTGCTCTTGACAGAGCTCATCAACGAATGTTACGCCATTCTTCTCAGACCATTATGATCTATATGTGTGCCTCCGTACTGTTGACTCGTTCCCAAAAGTCCTTACAACATCTTGCTTGTCTTACCAAATTGTGCAGCACCGGCCAGTCTATCTGCCTGTTCGTTTCCCAACACACCGGCATGCCGTGGAGAAAGTATACAATGGATGCTAACAAAACGGGACTTCTGAGGCTAATGAACTCTGCACGGTGCATACCTCTCAACATGCTTTGTTAGTCAGTTACAATTACGATATGTGTGTAGAGTTGATTCCAAAGCCAGCAAAAGGCAGCAGTGACTGCCTCCACCTCCATTCTCAAACTAGGCGTTGTGGTATCATATGGCAAGTTTTGTTGCGCGAAGCGACGTCCATTCGCTTTTGTTATGAACCCTCACGCACTTCAACTGCCTCTCAGCACAGAGCCATCTCTATAGATATCCAGTCACGTGGGCGGAAATCGTCGTGAATCATTTGCTGACCTTCTGATTCTGCAGCACCAGCTGGCCAGCTCCTGCACTCACGACCTAAAGTGATTAGAATACTACACGAATCTGACTCTTGCTCGGACACTTTGACCCACTCCTCTCCTCGCACAAATTAATCAAGCCTGCACACACGTCTGATTATGTCTTCAGCGTGTGCTATCCAAAAGACCTTCCTCTTGTCAGTCGGTGATCCCTTAGCTCTACCTAGGGTTTCCTGCAAGAGATGTTTCTTGTCTGCAAATACTTTGAGATTTGACTTTGCTTGCAGAACTTTGAGCCTAGTTGTAAAAGTAGACAGGGCAAGTATATATCGCATACATACTACCGGGGTATCTGGTGTACATCCGAGAATTATCTGCATGGCTTCAATCTGTATGCATTCAGGCTCCAACAGCACACTCTTTGGTATGGTAAGCATTCTGATTATGAAATGAACATGGTCAATAAAAATGTGGAACTATTTTTGGCATAAATCAATAATAAATATCAACTTACCACATCAGTTGCATTGGTATCGGCCTTCATCTTGATGAGAGCTCGACACACCTCCTTCTGCCCATTCTCAGCTGCCATGTGTAGAGATGTCTTCTTGGACTGCAACATGTAAATAAACGTACTGATTTATTCATTCAGATCAAAGATTATGTCACATATTATTCTGAACAAATTAATAAATCTTTTTCTGTGTAACTATTTCTGTCTTTTCTTTTTTAAACGGATCAACATCATGGCACACAGGTAGTAACCCATAAGTGCTCCGTTCCATTTCTAACTCAAGCCTGAGTCTGAAGAATCTCATGGCAGGGCACGAACTCCGAAGTACCAACGCAGATCCTGAAATACTTTGTGTAAATTTTTAACTTAATGTTACACACTAGCTCACTTGTGATTGGTCGACCTTCAGCCTAGCTCACTTCTGATTGGTCGACTTTGTGCAAGGGCCACGTGGATCAAGGTCGACCTTGAGCCACGCCTCATGGCACAAGGTTACGGGGATTTTCCGCAAAGCCGTTGATATCGAGTGTTGTATATTTCAGCATGGCAGCTCTTTTAACACTCCAAAAACATCGACAAACTGGGTCTGACATAATACCCCTTCAGTGAGTGATGAAACCTATGTCCAGGTATTCTCTTTCTCTAAATAAAAACGGAAATGCAAAACAATCCAGAAAGCAAACAACATAGCGGCACATCCGTAACCTCGACCAAGGTAGACAAGACCAAAAAACCTATTAACGGAACGTGACCTACTCTGTTTGGGGAGACTAACGTTTGTTTAAATATGTTTTCCCCTCAGTATTGAATACTGTCCAGAACATCTGTTTATACAACACATCCACCCATCCACCGACCCCCAACCCAAACACCCCTCAGTCGCCCACCTGAATTAGTCCTTTGAGGTACTGGATACTCTTGTTTGTTCTGTTGTCTACGTTAGCTTTGCCATAAGGTAATGTCTTCTGAAATAAATTCACTAATGCTCTGATCTTTGCTCTGATCTTCTTCATTTAATCACATGAGAATTTTCGTTAATTCCATGCCGTCTGCAGAACCAGAATACGCCAACAGACTTCACCTTCTGTGTGTCACCCCGATTGTAACCTCTCTAATACTGTAATTCGTCCACTGTCTGATGCTCTCCTTCCACTTTTTTAGTGGTCTACCTCTTGCTCGTCTGCCTTCGAGTAAACAGTGCAGAGGCACAAATAGATCATCACACTCTGAGGATAATGGTGCTCTGAGGGGTTACCAAGGCATCTGGCTGACGCTCAACACTCAAGGAAAAGGTAAGACGGAAATACAATCAGACTGTTAATGTTGCCTTCTGAATTGGAACTCTGCTCATGCCGCTGAAGATGTGGACGGAGCGAATTCCCGAGTGCTGTGATGTCGATTCCCAGTTCGACATTCAACATTTTGCTCGACTATCTTCACTTTTTCCTTCCAGTGTCGATTTTATGACAGGGTAATGCTTTGAAGAAAACTGTCAACCACTGTCTGTGTTTACCACATGTTGTGCTATGGACAGGGGGATTTTTGAGACTGAGGATTTACGGCCGCATGCCTAGTGCTCTTTCTTCTTCTTCTGCTGCTGCTTTTTCTTCTCCCCTTCCTCTTTTTTCACTGTGGGCATCATGGAAGATAAAAGGTTCTACTTCTTGTTCCTTTGGCAGCCTTGACTATGGATATATCGCGTCCTGTAGAGTTTTTATGATGTTATCTTTCCATCTTGTTCTTGGTCTACCTCATGCCTTACGTGCTTCTGCTCTTTTGATGTATACCTTTAATGGTTTAACGTCATATGGCATTCTCTCTAAGGGGCAAATGTTTATATTTACCGTCTTTGTGTGTAATTTAGAATTGGTTCTGTGCCAACTGTTTCCCCTGTGACACCAATCCTGATTTGATCTCTTCTGGACACGCCTGCAACCCTTCTCAAACATCTAATTTCCATTCCCCAATCACTAAACTGAATGTGCTGTACTTACCAAAGTGAGGGCGTCTATTGTGGCTGCATGTTTCCCAACCAGTAACTTAACGAGCGCCACATTTCCATTGGCTGCTGCTAGGTGCAGCGGTGTGAGTCCATGCTTGGATTTAGCGTTGACAAACGCTTTGTGATAGAGGAGCATGTCTGCTACTTGTTCGTGGCCATTTTCAGCTGCCAGATGTAGGGCAGTCTTTCCATGCTGGTTAGACGAGAGTAATGAGAGGAGATCAATTATCTTTTAGTCGGATATCAGACCAAGAACTGACATATACATAATTACAGCCAGGCAACAAGACGTACAATTAGCTTGACGGGCATAACGGACCATCAGCAAGACCAACACGCAGAAAGGACAACCATAAGAAAAATGCAGAGACACTAAGCCATTGATAGCCACCGAGGTGTAGCTGCTAGAATCTCGCCTGAGCACTGGAAGGTCGTGGGTTCGGGTACTAAGGGAGCCGGACTTTTTTTTTTTTTTTTTATGATATTGACTCTCAGGTCGACAAAGCCTTGAAAGACTACCAGGTACAATAATGGAAAGTATAGGCAGCCAGCGTAATGCCGACAACACCAACTACCTAGTACCGATTGATCTATAAAACATAGATCTAGCCCCCATGTGCCCAATACGCCTAAAGGTGTGGAAAAGGGTCCCTGCCTTTTTTTAAAAACTAAAACATGGCACAAAAACTGAATTAGAGCCGTTAAACTTTGGCGCAAGAAAAAAGTGCAAAATTAAAACCGAAGGGTTCTTTGATACACGAGCTGGTTAAAAATGGACAGATTTGTGTTCATATATCCAATACGTCTAAAGATGTGGGAATTTGTCCTTTAGTTATTTTATTTACTTATCTCATGATATGGACACTCTTACCTCATCAAAAATGTCCACCCTGGCTTGATTCTTTAGAAGTATTTTCACAATGTCCAGATGTCCCTGTTCACTGGCCACCAGCAATGGGGACTGGCCATTCTGAAGAAACAAAAGTAAAAAATCAGTTCTAAGGTTCGAGCCTCTAAAAGAACAAGACAGGCGATATTTTTTTTTTTTTATACAGAAGAATCACCGATGATAAATTATAATACCGTAGTACACTATCATGTCCCCTGATACAGAATGAAGCCACGCAATCCGCCCAGTGTTCCTACCAAACCGAATTCCACACAGCTGAGCATTACAGAACTGCCCCTACAGCAAAATCACACGGCTAGACGGAAGAGGTATCCATGGAAACTTGCTGCCGACCTACCCGTTCATGGAGGCAACACAGCTGATAACCCTAGCATATGAAACCAATCGCAAAATAAATTATTTCAGACACTCACCTTGGACTGTGTATTGACTGCTCCCGACAACAAATCTACTATGCAATCATTTCAGACACTCACCTTGGACTGTGTATTGACTGTTCC